TAATGTGGTTCATCCGTCCTCGCGTGGAATTCATTTAGGAACTGAGAAGAGAACGTTTACACCTAAGTCACAGAAAACTTTCATCACTCGTAATGACCATTTTTCACCTGACAACAACGAGACGAGTCTCAATAGAAAAAAGTTAAATTGAAAGAGAAATATCCCATCTGTCCATCAGAAGCCACATAATTTTACACAGGCTTTAATTACCTTTAAGAATACTGGAACAACATGCGGCCCAGCACTATCATAATCCGAGATAACACACTTTTTTATTTTCCTGTTAAGTGACCCACTTTTCTAAACTGCTGCAGTCAGACTCATCTATTTTTCAAATTCTGCTCTGTAGCTAGCTGCTCAGCTAATAACCGAAAAGCGTTCATACAGAATACCTAAGAACATATTAATGCTAAATGAAAAAGTCGGAGATTTAAAGCAACGTTCAGTTGCAGCTTTTAAAACTCTTTACTGAGTAGGACTTCTATTTTTACACTGCAAGACTACATTGTTCTGAAATTATTTTCGCTTTTGTTTAATTCTTCCTTTGTTTCGTTCTTGGAGATCACTAAGCGTTTGTATAAGAATGCTACAGGCAAGCCAAAGTCAGCACACAAATCTTAAAAGTTTGAGGCTTCACAAAGCAAAAATTGGCTCACTGGATTTTGAAAGTTACTTTTCGGTTCCTACAATTTAAAAAATCATCACTTTTCCCAAAAGACAACTAAAGGCTCTCTCAGACATCCAATCTAATAATGTGTAAAGATTATATGAATAGATCAAAAACAACTTCGCATAAACACAAATTAGAACTTGAAACTCATTTCCGTAAAACATTAGTTTAACCTTCAACATCAAAAAACTTTTGATTTTTAGAAGATTACGTTACTCCAATCCAGCAGCGTAGCCTCATTAACATCTTGTTGCTCCGTTGTTTCTAATGCCCGTCAGGCTTACCTGTGTCACTCTTATACAAACGTTCAATAATCTCGAAAAACTAAACAAGGAAAGTAGCAAATGAAAGCAAAACTAATTTTAGAACAACTTGGAATTTCACAGTGTAAAAATAGAAGTCTTACTAAATAAAGTTTTAAAAGCTACACCTCAACGTTGTCTTAAAAACACTTTTAGTGAAATAGCACGTATTTTCACAAGCCATGATGGTCGTCTCTAAAAACCCAGTTGCTGATTTCTTGCTTCTATTGAAAACTGTAAGAACTACTTGAGTTTTAAATACATATATTTTATTTTACAAATCTAGCGCCGTCCACACAATATGCAAATTGAAAACTGCTTCCCCAGACAATTAACTCGTGTCAATATGAAATTATCTTTTGATGCTACCTCAGCCACGGAGATGTTCAATAGCCAATGAGCAACCATATTCCTTCTGTGAGGGGATGGTACAGCGTCCCTGCGACGCTTAACTAGTTTCATTTATAAACTCTTTCAGAGATTGGTGGTCAAAGAGAATAAAAGGCAGTGAAGAAAGCGAAGCCAACTAAATAACACATTAACAGCAGCATAACGCCAAAAACCACAAGTTGACTAAATGATGCGGGCCTCTTTTCAATCACGCCCAAAGAGAAAATTAAAAAGGCAGAAAAGCTATTTTTTTTAGTTAGAAACCTTCCATGAAAAAACTCATCTAAAACGAGTGGCAAGGTAAAATAAGATGTTAATTTTCCGCCCTAATTTAGAAAAAAAATACGCGAGTAAAATAAGCTATGTGGAATTTCAACAAAGTTCCGTTCCTCCCTTTTGCCCATGTCACGACTTGTCACTTCTTGGTAGATATGCAGGCTCCCACACTGCTTTTGCTTCAACTTCCAAATCACAATCAAAGGTTATATTTGAAAATGTTAACAGCTCTCCTTGAAAACGGTACAGAAATTCAGGTCGGATAGAAAATAGAGAACTGAGGGATCTCGGTCAACAACTGCACCAGTCAAAACACTCACAAAGCCTCACCTTGGCGATTTACACCTTTTTCAAGAGGTGAAAAACCTTCAAATGCTTTTTAAAAAGGAAGACTTAAATAGGTCAAAGTATGCCACAAATCAACGTTTAAAGAACCCCTGAGGAAGTGCCTGATATCCCAAAGCAGATGAACCCAGAAATGAACAAGAGGAGTGTTATGCGACCAAGTAAAACTGGTATTGGTAATATGCAGGAAAATTTACGGTAGGCTCCCCAAAACTTCCAAAACATCCCTCATATAAAACAAAATGACGACCAAATTAAGTTCAAAGATGAAAAAAAATTAAATCTCCAAAATAAACGGTAAATACCTGTACTGCCTCTCGCCAGATAACTCCTTCTGATATCGTTCAGCAAAGTGCTGAGCTGCAGCTAAAGAATCTTTCAAGCTCCGTTCACCATCCTGAAGATACTCAAGCTTCCTCATACAGACCCACGAAATAAAAATATCCAAAAATTCTTGAAATTCTAGTAAATGAAATGAAGCCTACTTGATATTTTGCTACTATAGCCTCGTAATTGTTACACATCTCGCACGACAAAACATTCCTCGATGAAGATCTCGAGTTCAACCCGCTAGAGTTGATAATACTTTCATCGCCGGAAGGCTGAATTTGAACCTCATTTAAAAATGGAGAGACTCCAATCTAGGAGAGGAACAAAAAAAGTGGCTAGGCATTTATTTCCACAATCATGCTTCCTGTAACAGAAAAAGAAGTACTCACACCACTAGTAACTGCTCTCGTAGAAGCTTGACTTTCTAACTCTTCATTAACATCCTCTGTGGCAGTTCCACTAACGTTGTCGTCCTTTTTTTCCACAGCCACTTCCATTATCAGCTAAGAAATCATTAACTACCGGGAAAAAACTGTATCGAGCATTTACCGCTAAAAAATAAAAAGTAGATTATCAATTTCAGAGGCTTAGATACTACAAATCAAGGTTCTCACAGAAACAACAAATTATGGAATTTGTGGAAACCATCAAAAAATGCATCATATGCACTATTACTAAAGAACCTGGCATTAAAAGACGCGAATTAAGAAAGTTCACTAATTTAAAGATGTTCCCCTGCAGACTAACTGAACCTTTGGAGTTCGCATCCTTTTACGATAACATTTGTGTCACCAGATGTAAGACTGTTCATCAGTTCTTTTTACAAGTCTTCTGCGAGTTCAAAAAGGGTGTTTATTGTGAACAATATATCACAATAAAATCTGTTCAGCTTCCTACAGTGAATGAAAGTTTGGTACAAATAACACCTAAAAACTCAATAGCTTTTTACGAATCTGCATTGATTATACCATACTGAAGCTTCACCATCAGAAAGTTCTTGAAGCTTCATGCTAAATTTGCCCGTACTGTTTGATGGGCAACAGCAATTTAAAAAATCAATATGGTTAGCAGGAATTAGCAAACATCAAAGTAACAAGAACAAAAGACGGCAACACAATTTAACTGTAAAAGGTACGGGAAACCAAATTTCAATAAGGTAGAATGATGCAACCAATAAGCCCTAAAAGCTTGAGAAGAAACAAAGGAATTTAAGACGCAGAAAATACTTTACTTTTTGCTCATTGCTTTCTCTGAGCACTAATAGACTAGAAAAAGTTAGCAAAAATGTTTCGAAGTCACTGTGAACAGCAACTCAGAAAAGCACTTCGAAGAGTCTCTCTATGCTTCTTCTTCGAGATAACTTGGTAGTCGAACTGGACCTCGACAAATTCCAGCAACCTCTCTTATCTGCCTTCTCACCAGTAACCACTAAAATAAAGCCTTCGGCAGTTTGCCTAAAGCGCTTTTTTGATCGCTCTAAGACTCATCTGCTTCTTGCAACCAAAATGTTCGTCAACAAATAACCTATCAAAGGTTACATTGGCACTTTTATGGCTGATGGCTATGCATGATACTTTCTTAAAGCCAGACTTAACTGTGGATTTTATCCTATGCACATTTGAAATTTTTTAGCGAAATAATTTGCTAGAAGAGATGATTTTCAGAATAAATTTCTTGAAGGTCTTGCTAAGGGTTCTGCATATGTACAAACAGCCGTTCCATTTGAAGTCGCACACTTTTTTGGTTGACCTCTCAGACTTTCTTCGTTCTTGCCAGCTTGTACCAAGTGGTATGCAGTTGTGAAATGGAAAGAGTTTACCTCAAAAGGCATGCTAGCAGCTAAGTCAAACAGTTCTAAGGTGTAGAAAAAAGCAGTTTTTGCTTAGTCTGGTCACCTTCAAAAACTTCTAGTTCTTAATGTGCATAAAAGATTTTTCTGATTTTTACTTCACATGAAAAAATGTGTTCTACAGACTCAGTAAAGTGAAAAACTGCTTATGGTGAGAAGTTGTGCAAAAGGTTACTATAAAAACGAGACTTTAACACGTTTTTTTTTTTTTTTTTTTCAAAGAACTTGTGTTTTGAAACTTTTAAAAAAGATGCACTTTATACTGGCATGATTTTTTCATGAAATACTAAAATTACAAGGTGGAATTTCTGTAGTTTCATGAGTTGTAACTTGCTTAGTGAGCTTAACTGTGGAAAACCAATAGTTTGTGCACCATTTTGCCGCGTATCTAAGTAATAAGGTTCCTGTTTCAACTGGTGCAATGTTTTTTGAAACACGTTATTTTGTTTAGTTCAGCAACAAAAAAAACGATTAAAACTTTTTGCTGCGGAACAAATTTAATAAAATTTTAAAAAAAATATTATTATGATTACTTCAATTTGTATCGCTTTGCTTAATAACTGAACTTTTTTGACGAAAATTTGAAACTGATGACTGGCTGTTGATAGTAAATACCTTTTACTAATATCTTTCTAGGAATGTGTGGTATAATGTAAAAAAATTTTTTTTGGTAGGCTTACATAAAAACCCTGCAATAGAAAAGCTTTTTTTTTATTCTTCCTAACTTGGAAAAACCACTAATATCTTTGTCAAAACGGTTTCATTTCTAATCGTATAATTTTTTGGCAATCAAGCTTCAGCTTGGAAGTATCTCTTTAATACCAGTTTTTGCAGGTAGTCTTTTTACTGTGCCTTTCATGCCATCATAATAACTTTTATAACGCAACTGGAGAAGTGATGCCATTGTACTGCAAGTCTGAGCTTCGTAGATTGAAAGATCAGATTCTGGAAGTTCTTTCAATTTTTGTACTGCATGCAGTTTCATCGAAAAAAATGATGTTTGTCAAATTCTACTTACTCCTCAGAACGGACGGGGAGTGATGATGAAATGTACCTTTTGCTACCAGGCCATGAGTGTGGTTTTGATAATAAAGTAAGCTTGTGTAAGCAGTAAAAATTGAAGAAATTTTTTTGATAAAATATGGGGTAGCTAAATTTGGCTTACATCTTTAGACAGTTCTGTGGTCTTTTGAACAACTATTCTTAGGTTTCCAGTGAAGTCGTAACTTAGTGCAGTGCTCGAAAGACAATACTCAAACAGTATTCACTATGAACAATCGACACTGAGTTTCAGATATTTTTTCTTCAAAAGAGTTTAGTGATAAAGCGAGTGGCACATATAATAACCATAATATCAATCGTTTGAGAAATTTTATTTGGATTAATCAGCAACAAAAAATTCTAAACCAAATATCTGTTATTAAACCCCACGAACTAACACGTTTTAGTAAAACTGTATGTAAGTTGAAACAGGAGCGTTGTCACCTGCAGAAGCGCCAAAACGTTGCACAAATTGAAGAAACTTCACCAATCACTTCATCATAATACCACGGAACTACCATCAATTTTGACGTTTTATAGGAAAATTATACTTTTATAAAATGTGTCTTCTTTTAGAAAATTTAAACATTTTCTTTCCAGGAAAAATGTTTTAAACATTTGCTTTTACAGTTATATGCGCTTTTTTGTTGAGCTGCTAAAACACCTATGCAATCCTGATTTTTCATCATCCTCCTCATAATCAGCTGTTTATCCTGACAGTTTCAAAAATTCGTTTGCCTTTGGTTAGGTTTACTCTTCAATTACTCTATTAACTTCTCTTTCAATTTTATTTGTAATTTTAATTTGCATTTTTTTCTAAGTAAAAAATCAATCGGTTTAAGGAAAAAATAGTTATGCAATAAAACAAGATATTTTAATGTTATCAAGAATTGCCTTCAAGTCCAAATCCTCATCGGTTTTCGGGCCTCTGGACTGTCCGCAGGCTGCTAATCTTAGAACAGTCTGTATAGGCGTTGGCGTTCAGGTTTTTTTACAAGGAATCTTTATTCGAGGCTAGCGTTAAGAGTAAACAGGTTTACGGGCTTTATATAGGCTAAGTAAAAACAGTTTTCTTACGTGTTTGGCTATTTAAACAAATAGGCAACTGAACACTTTTTGCGAAAGAAGGGGTCGTGCTTTATAGACCCTGTAGGAATATCAGAGAGGAAACATGTTGTACAAGCTTCTACAATTTAAAGGACAATCGGTCAGCTGCGATATCATCTAGCCTTGATGGAACCTCGAGAACTTTACAAAAAGCTTTCAAGCAACTCTTCGCCTCTTTATTGTCGAATGTGTAGAGACAGGTTGATGAAGAATGGAACAACGAAGTGGCGAAATTGAGAATTTGCTTTCAAAAAGTGCAGACGATAATAACTTATTTTCTTTTCCGGATTTTAGCCAATAAATATTTCAATTTCAAGGCATCAATAAAATACGAGGACCTTATAAAAAAAGCTATTTTTTGGTAAGTAAAGCTCAAGTCACTCTAAACATCTAAAAAGAAGTACTCACATATAATGACATTATAAATCGGGTGTTGAATGAAAGTTTATTGCCACAAAGAAGTGTGTTCTAAATACAGCAGTCGATCCAGATAATGTGACATGCAAAAGTGACTTACTGAAGCCTGCTGTCGGGTGGTTTCTTCAGCATTTCAGATGGAGAAACAGTATCCTGCTGAAGTTAGTGCTGCAAAGCATAAAACTTACTAAAAGTTTTTAAAGAAAGTGCTTGCTTGCTGATTAAGTTTTATTAAAGATATGAAAGTCAGGCGACACGGTCTAAAGGCCAAACCATTTTCTGTGATTATTTCACATGACGCGTTCTTTAGGATTTTGTATTTAGTTTATTTCAGTTGCTGAAGATTTGTCTAAGGAAATCCTGTTCCATACAGAAATACCCACAAATTATTGTTCGACAGTCGCAATAAACTTCCAGTTACAGTGTCTGGGGTATCAGATTAAGAAAATTTCTTTGACGGTATAGAAGAAAACTTTCAAACTGTCAGGAACAGCTCCGTTATACGCGTTATCAGTGTTTTTCTCAAACATTTTATTACTGCAAAATGTTTTACTTCAGCTAGTTCAGTAACATACACCTAGTCAAAAATTTCCTGTTGTTAAGTCGCCGTTAAATATATATTTGAAGAAAAATCGTCTTAATGACTGGTTTTTGAAATTATCTTTTCGCATTTTTATTAAATTGTTTTAACCAGGGTATTTGTCACTCGATGCTGATTGTTGGCTACAGGTATCGTTCCGTTATAATTTTCTCAACAGTGCATATATCGGGACTTTGCCAAGAACTACGAACTGGTAGGTTGGAAGGACAGACAGGTTTACCGTAGAAAGAATAAGAAACGTTTCGTTTGCTTGCTAGGTATTTAGTGAACAATTCCGCAACTCCAATTACGCCCCAAAGTCTCACTGTAATGCCATACTAGCTTATTTACGATGCGATGGTCGTACACTTATTTCAGCACCATTGGTTGACCTTTTCGATAAGGAATTACAGCTCGACAAAGATCTTCTGCTTATTCGACATGTGTCACAGCACAAAATTGAAAGAACTTTTCAAGCTTTTTTTTTTTTTTTCATTTTACAT